ACTGTGGGGCTGCAGTTAAAGGAAGCGTTCACAGTGCCTATTAATGGAAGAACACACATAGACGCACACAAAACTCACACCCTGCGTCCTCGTTCATCCCCGAGTTATTCACAGAGGCATAAAACATCCCGAGTGCTATTCTCCGTCTGATTGGCAGCATACAAAACCGTGGAACATCACAGAGGAGCCATTATTGTGGCAACTTTTGATGTTTAAAAAAGGCAGTGTTTAATTTAGCTCCACTTTTTTTTTTTTTTTTCACTTCCACTTGGTCAAAGTGAATCATTTGCATGCGCTCAGAGAGAGACGAAGGTAATCAAGCAGCCCTATTCTGCCAGATGGCTTTCTCTATAGACAGTAAATGGGCGGTTTTTAACTGCGTTTTATTCCGTGTTTCTGCTTCAGAAAGCACTGTCATTGGACGTGATCTACCTGGATAATAAACGTAATTTCTGCAGGCCGTTATTAGATAAGACCTTTCCTGCCACAGCATTAAAACGAACAGCTTTTCAGGTCTAATTTTCTATGTCAGTGCTAACAAAGAAACCAGGTGTGTTTGTTGTACGTGCGGTAATGCTGTATTTTGCGCCCCGCCGTTCCCGCTCCGCGGAAATTAGGCAGAATATTTATGCAGATTGCGGCAGGACTCTGCCATTGTTGCACACGCCGGGGCCGGGGAGTGTTAGACAAAAAGGACGTCTCTGAACCCCCCCTTTTGGCGGGGACGAGGCGGGCCATGCCTCACGCGCCTGTAAAAGGTCTTCATTTGTTTGTTGTTAAAGATCTAATTAGGAGGATGAGGGGAAACAGGACGGAATGGCAGCTTGTCTAATTAAGAGGCGCGTCCAGGGTTCCCTTTGAACCTCAAGGACGCCCATCTATTAGAGAGGCCCATCAAAAATGGATTCAGCCTAAGTGCATTTTTGGTTGCTTTCCTTAAATGATTAAAGATGTGCGCGCTGGAGTGGGCTTTCCCCTCCTCCCCGAGAAGCCGAAACACTTGAAGATTCTGAGCATACCTCAGGCATTTCCTTCGTTTGTGCGCAGTTAGCGGGAGAGGGCTTGAACGTCTGGATGCATGTGTGATTTGAGAGTGTAGGTACTGGCAGGATGGGGATTTTCGTGCTCGTTTCTGTTTACTGATCGTAAGCATTTTTATTTTTTTTTCAGTAGTTGTGCCTGTGAATTTCACTGTTCTCTTTTGGCAGTCCCTGAAACAGAATAGAAAAACAGGAATTTTTTTAACACTATTTCATTTAATCTTTTCTTGGAAAGACGCCTGAGAAAGGTACATTACAAAGCCAAAAATGTGTGGACGGCAAACTCCACACCTGTATGTGCTTGTTGAAAATTTAATTTCAAAACCATTGGCGTTAATGGGAAGTTAATCCTTCCTGACAGCTTCCGCTCCTCGGGTTGCAGGGATTTGATTCCTCTCAAATGCCACCAATAGGGGTTCAGGTTTGGGGTTTTTGCACACCAGAGTCCTTAAAACCATATCTCTATATGGACTTTACTTTGATGCGCCTCATAAATATGTTTATGGATATGTTTTTATATTTGTCTGTATGCATCTGTTAGTAATATGAGTTTATGGAATAACCAAACTTGCGAATTATCTGTAGTTTTACACCAGTATGAATTTGAAATTGTTTTAGTGATAGTTTTGACTTTTTTTTAATACTAAAAGTATTTGATGAATGCATGAACCAAATATAACAAAATTGTATGTATAAATTTAACTTTTTCCCTGCTATTGACTGAACTTCTTTTATGAGACAACACTTCCCTGCCACTGACAGAATTTTCCAGCTCTTTGTGTTTTCATTGTTATACGGTACAGGGTGCTACGCTTCTCCTGAAAGAGTATGTAATAGATCAAACACAGGTGAAGAAGAAGCAGAAACAAGCGATAGAAGCATTGGGTAACGCTTCCTTTTACAGTCCAGTTACCCATGTAAATACTATGTACTTATTTTAGTAACTACAATTACTGGGTAATAACTAGTACTAACCCTGAACCTACCCCTAAACCTACCCCTGTTCCATGTACTTACCCTTATATTAGCCAGTACTTTCTAGGTAAGTACACTGTAAGTACACTGTACTGTAAGTACTGTACTGTAAAAGGAAGCGTTACCAAGCATTGCTTATCCACGTAGTAGTTTTTGACAAACACAATTTTCTCAGCTTTTTGTTCAAAATGTTGCTTTTTTAATAAACTTAATGGTTAAAAATGTATCAACATTTAACAAAATCAACTGGTTGTGAAGACCAAAAAATTACATTATAATAAGTGGTTTAGCGAGTTGTTACAAAAAAAAGCGTACCAAAAACGCAGCTGGCATTAGAGCAGACTCAAGGTTTGGGCTGATGTGAATTTAATGAGTGATTGGAAGAAGTCTACGGCTACAGTCCTGTCAGAGAATCAACGTTCCTTTTGTTTTCTCATTTCTTTTATTTATATTTCTTTATCCCTCCCTAAACTCTTCTTAAATGTAGGCTGGCATGGACCTCATTTGTTCTGCTGGGTGTATCTGGGATCCTCTGAAACTAATTAAGGCAGAGGAAAAGGAAGAAGAATCGAATATAGTGCCTCACCAAGGCTGATCTAATGAGGCGTTCTCTGGGCTGATAAGTTGTCTGATATAAAACCCTAGCAGAGGAGCTATATTGATGACTATTTGTAAACAGCAGAGGTACACTGAAGTTTTGTGAGTTCCCTCTCTTTAACACCTTCCCCCAAGTTCACAGCTCCACGTCTGTAACAACAGCAGGCAGTGCAGGATGGGGTCAGCTTAATTACACACCATCCGCTATGGATCATTTTCAGATGGTCTACTCGGCTTTTCACACAGAGATTGTGACAGACTTGAGCTCGATTATGTAGTTGTTTGTTTTTTTGTATCAAATGATGATAAAACAAGAAACATTTGTGTGTGTAAAGTTTGGAAACATTTATATTTTTTATGTTTTTGAAAGAAATCTCTTATGCTCATCAAGCCTTCATTTATTTTATAAACTACAGAAAAAAACAGTAATATTGTCAAATATTATTACAATTTAAAATAATGGTTTTCTATTTTAATATAGGCTACTTTAAAATATATGTGATGCAAAGCTAAATTTTGTAATCATCATTACTCCAGTATTCAGTATCACATGATCCTTCAGAAATCATTCTAATATACTGATTAATGCTCAGTTATTGTATAATGTTGGAAACAGTTGTGCTGCTTACATTTTTTACCTGGGTTACTTTTTTTCAGAATTTGTTGATGAAAAAGAACAGCATTTATTCAAAACAGAAATCTTTCTAGCAACATAAATCTTAACTATCATTTTTAAATCGATTTAACACATCCTTGCTGACTAAGAGTATTCATTTCTTTCAGTAAATCCAAATGTTTAATGGTAATGCTGTTCTTTAAAAAAAAAAAAAAAAAAAAAAAAAACTTTATTCATCAGAGAATCCTAAAAAAAAACATATCACAGGTATTAAAAAAATATTGAGCAACAAACTGTTTCCAACTCTGATAATAAATCAGTATTTTAGAATGATTTCTGAAGGATCATGTGACATTGAAGACTGGAGTAATGATGCTGAAAATTCAGCTTTGCATCACAGAAATTAATTATATTTTAAAGTGTATTAAAATAGAAAACCTTTATTTTAAATTGTAATAATATTTCAAAATATTACTGGGTTATTTTTCTGTGTTTTTGATCAAATAAATGTGAACTTAGTAAGCATAAAAGGCTTTTTTCAAAAACATTAAAAATAGTTATGTTTCCAAACTTTTGACCAGTACTAACAAAGTGGCATGATATGGACACAAAAATCTAGTGAATTTTGTTTTATTCACTAGAATGTTTCCAAATATTTATTTATATTAAACATAATAAAACCTCACAGATATATTTTGGGAAACATTTGAGTTGTTTTTAGGTTAAATATATGCGATATCTAATGCAATGACATTCATACATTTCTATGTGACTGTCCAAAAACTTTCCAATGCCAATGTAATATGTAAAGCATCTTTTCACTCGCAGTATTTGCATAATAAATTGACACACACCTGCACTCGAGCACAATAAAATAAAACAAATAACATAGATTTTAACAATGATTTGTAAATACTTTCAAAAAATAAAAGAAAAGTTATTCACAATTATAATTCTGATGTTTTTAAAGAGGATGACATTACGCAACATAATTTGCGGTTAAGTTACGAGTGTGTTGACAGTGGTATTCTAGTTATTTTCCTGCTTGTTATTTGTGGATGCTGAAATGCAAATTAGCATTTCAAACTATTAAGGTCAGTCAGTTTTTATGTAATCACCCATCAAAAGTTTTTAAAACCATGACTTCCATACACTAGCGTGTCAGTACCTCCGTCTGCAGCAAACACAAGTGTTTATAGTAGTGTAATACAGTGGCGGCCAGTTAGTCTTCACACATTCACACACACACACACAGGGGAAACAGCGAGACGTGGCTTTACAAACTCACCTATCTATCTATCTATCTATCTATCTATCTATCTATCTATCTATCTATCTATCTATCTATCTATCTATCTATCTATCTATCTATCTATCTATCTATCTATCTATCTATCTATCTATCTATCTATCTATCTATCTATCTATCTATCTATCTATCTATCTATCTATCTATCTATCTATCTATCTATCTATCTATCTATCTATCTATCTATCTATCTATCTATCTATCTATCTATCTATCTATCTATCTATCTATCTATCTATCTATCTATCTATCTATCTATCTATCTATCTATCTATCTATCTATCTATCTATCTATCTATCTATCTATCTTCCCAGTGCACGCTGCATTGTACCTGAACCATGCAAGTCAGATAGTAAACATTGCTTCATAACATTACTATGCAAAGTCCTATTTCCCCCAATGATGGAGTCCCAGCCCTCATCCTCCTCCCTTCCTCCTCCTCCCCTGTACTGTATCTCCCAGGCTTCCCCGATTACGGTTTCTATTCCTCGCCAAGCGACCAACGGGGGCCCCCCTTCTCCTTTGCGGACTATGGCTCCCTGGGCCCCCAGGCGGCTCAGCTGCTGCAAAGCGAGCATGCCACATCAGCCTGCAACTCCCCTCTCCAGCACCTGGCCAGCCCGGATCAATATAAGAGCCCAGGTGTGTACCCGCCTCTCCTTCATTCAATGATTGATTTGATTCATGCCGTTTATTCATCACCCTGCCATTCATTAAAACGAGAGAGGGGTGGACAGATGAGAAGGGAAAGCGAGGGTTTTGTGCATCCTTGCAGTTGGCTTAGTGTCGTCGCATTGTCATTTTGCCGGTGGATTTGAGGTGGTGTATATACATGAGCACGTATGCGTATGTACTGTGGAGATATATCCGGGAAAACGGGATTTGGCTGCGGTCTCAATCCCTGTGCAATTAATGTGTTCATATCTTGTGCAGTACATACTCAGGCACGTATATATGTATTACACACCCACTGGCTCCAAACCGCTTAACTGTCAGCCTGCTGGCATGTGATAAATGATATCTAAACATCCAACTTCATGTACTTGAGAGTAAAATGACAAGCCATTTGTTGGAAGCTGATTTTATCGCTTAGTTGCCGCACTTGGACAGAGTATCACATATGGAGATAAATTGTTAATGCATCCCTTTATTTGCATACGTTTTCGTTCTGTATTCATTGTGTTTGTTCACGTATACAGTACAGTGGCTCCGAAATGTATTTAGACACTTGAAAAGAGAGATCATTTATTCACCATCATGTCGTTCCAAACCAGTGTGACTTTTTTTCTGTAGAACACAAAAGATGATGTATTGTACTAAAATTTTGTCTTTTGGTGTCATTTTAGATCCTTTTTTATTGTATGAATCATCTTTTTGTTTTCTGCCAAAGATGTCATGCAGGTTTGGAGCTGTGCGAGAATGAGTAAATGATGACAGATTTATATTTATGTGTAAACTATCCCTTTAAAGGAGTAGTTCACATTTAAAAAAAAAAAAAAAAAAAAAAACTTTTGCTGATAATTTACTCACCCCCATGTCATCCAAGATGTCCATGTCTTTCTTTCTTCAGTCGAAAAAAAATTAAGGTTTTTGATGAAAACATTCTCCTTATAATGGACTTCATTGGGAACCAAATGGTTCAGGGTCCAAATGAGAGTTTCAGTGCAGCTTTAATGGGCTTTAAACGACACCAGACGATAAATAAGCGTCTTATCTAGCTAAAAGATCGGTCATTTAAAAAATAAATAAAAAAGTTCAAGTCTTATAAGCGTAAATGCTCACCTTGCTCTGTTCTGTGATGATCGTTCGTGCTTCTCCTGTTCAAACTCGCTCATCAAAATGAACAAATTTTTTTCGAGTCATGACTCGAAGGGTCCTGGTGTCATGGCCTGGTGTCGTTTAAAGCCCTTTGAAGCTGCACTGAAACTCTCATTTGGACCTTCAACCGTTTGGTTCCCAATGAAGTGCATTATATGGAGAAAATGGAATGTTTTCATCAAAAACCTTAATTTCTTTTCGCCTGAAGAAAGAAAGACATGGACATCTTGGATGACATGGGGGTGAGTAAATTATCAGCAAAAGTTTTTTTAAAAGTGAACTGACACTTTAATATGAACGAATGTCATTGCATACAAAATACCAAACCAAGTGTTATTTACTGTAAATAATAACACGGGCACACTTTCTATGCAAAATATTGCAGAAAAATAAGTTTGTTAGGTTTTAATGTGCCATTCTGCTTTTCAAATGTTTTCTGATTTACCAAGAAAAAATAATAGGATAATTTGATTGTAGAGGATACTTGGTTTGCTGTTTTTTGTCATGCAAATAAGTTCTGACATTTTAAAGTGTTCAAATACTTTTTTGGCCACTGTATGTAGAATTACATCAACTAATGAGTGAAAATGAGAAGTGTGTGTAGCATGGTTGGAAAAAAAAAGTCTTGTTTTGACAGCATATTTAAAGGGAAGAGTTCTTGGGATATTTTGTAATGCTTTATGGTAGTGCACCACTGAACTGACGTTCGGTCCTCTTTAAAACAGTAGTGCTCCACTTTATATATGAAGTAGCCTATAGTTCAAAGGAAGGTGGTCTTGAGCTCTTGGCAGCAAACAAGACACGTCTTAAGAAATAAGTGCTGTCAAGAGCCATGGTAATGACTATAGTAAACTGTCTTGCAGACATTGAGGCATGTGTGGATTAGACATCCACGCCAGCAACCAGAGTGTTTATGGTTCAGATCCCAGTTATGGAATGCCAAGGAATGGTGACAGCATTGGCAGTTGTTGATTTTAATGTTCTGCATCTCTTTCAACCTTGTGAGGAACTTCCAAGATGTCTAATGACCTATAACAACGCTTTCCCTTCCTTCAAATGATCGCATGCTTTTAGATACACATTGCACATAATGGGGAGTTTTGAAATAAATCAATAATAGTTGCTAATAATATGTATGAATTAGTTTCAAAGTATTGAGCTACAAAAACAATTTCTTGTTCTGTTAATGAGCACATCCCCATTGATGGCTAAAAAAGACAGCGAATCACTGTGTCTTATTAGCGGAGGGCTATTGGGAGTACAGAAGCCAGTCATACCCCAGGACGTGATGCTAACCATGGCTGTCACTTACAGTGTGCTGGTTTCACCCCTCTTATATTAGAAGGGTTTATTTGTGATTTGGTGATCTGGATTCGTGATCCAGATCTTTCCGGGAACAATTTCAAGATGAGTTAACATCAAGGAGAACCTGTGATCTATGTAGTTTTTTGACTCCCTGCTGTTTTAAGAGGCTTTGATACTTTGCTGGATTCCTGACATATTCATAACCTAAATCACCAAAAAAATCACCTAGAAAATCAGTATTTTTGTTTTGTTTTCCAATAATAATAATAATAGAGTATTTGTGGCCAATTGTTTATTAGTATTAGTATTATCTTACTTGAAAAAGTTTAGGCCGTGTGTCCACCAAAGCGTTTTCATCCAGCTGAAAACGGCAGACGCTCTGCTGAAAACGCCATGCTTTGGGCGCTAGAAAGCCTTTTTTTCCATTGAGACGTTTCGTTGCTATGATACAGAATATCCACAGCACAGTTTACTTGTAACTGATTTCGCAGATAATTTGTTTCATACCAAATATTTATTTTTCATTTTTGTTCAGTTTGCCCTGCTGATTGATCTGTGACAGTTGGTAGGTGTGGTATTAGTCCCTCCCCTCCTCCATTGTGATTGGACGGCTGGGTAAAAACTGACAGTAATGAGTGCTGCGCTTTATCCAAAGTTGAAGAGTTTTCAACTCTCGGCAGCCAGTAAAAAACGCTGTGCGCTCGGCGCTTCAGCGTGAAAAAAACGCTCAGTGCCTCGCTACGCTAAAGGCGTTTAAAAAACGCGCCGCTCCCATTGAAAACAATTGAAAACATACGCCAGGCGCGTGGAAAAATGTTTCGGACACACGGCCTAATGCCTAAAATATTAGTAATAATAAATAAATAAATTCAGGAAATACTCTCTGAAAATAATCTTATATTTAATCTAAATTATTATTATTAAAATCCTATTTTTAAAATATGTTTTGCTTCTGAAGTACATATGAAGAGTTCAGATGCAAAAGCCCCTAAATGCCATTTGAAATTTTCTTCTTTAATGATGATTTTTTTCAAACTTGTATATTCAAGTTCAGTAATTTCACTTAAATAACAATTAATAGGTAATTATCATTGCCATTTAAGTGAAATTACTGAACATAAATATACAAGCTTGATAAAAATCATCATTAAAGAAGAAAATTTCAAATGGCATTTAGAGGCTTTTGCATCTGAACTCTTCATATATTTTCTTTTGAAGATTATTTTATTATTTACATTTTAAATCAAGTCTAAAATTATTTGTGCCCTTTTCACCCATTTCTTTTCCGAGACTGTTGTATTTATTTGGTCACTTTGTTCTCCCTTGCTTAATTATGCCTCATATTTTACAATTACAGTGGTGTAGTTGCAGACAGGTGGTACACTAGTGACAGCCATCTTCCCTTCCACTCAAATCTAGTAGCGGATGATACACGCTTCCCCATCATCCCTAGAAGTAGCTGACGCTATTTTGATACGCTGACATTTAGAAGTGAGAGCTCTGACTGTAGAGCCGCTCACCTCTCCTGTTGTCTGTGTCCTCATTTATGTGAAAAGCAGACAGATTGTGTGAGTCTGCTTCGTTCAGTTTACCCACGGCGGCATATTGCCCCCATCTAACATATTTGCTCTCCAACCCGTTCTCTCCGGGCTAATATTCCATTCGTACAGATATCTTTTACCCTCCTGAGTTTTTTGGAGGCTGCTGAAGTAATAGACTCTCTCTTCAATGGGTGCTGATCTGAAGGCCTCCGCCTGTGGAGGAACTTGATTTAATATTCGCTTATTAATGGAAGTGTCACAGAGGGCTGTGTGTAGGAGAAAAATGAGCGTGGCACGGCAAGGGGCCTCAAAGTTTCTGAGTGCCTTCATTTAATTTAATGCATGCATTTGTTTTTATTTGCCTTAATTCGCCTCTCAACAGCAATGAAATGGAGGGGTCATCTGCGAATGACAGCAGCCATGGCTCAAGTGGGCTGATAAAATTATAGTCTAATTGTAATTCCCCCCAAAAAAACCCCTCCAGCCCCTTGCTCCTTTCACACATTTCTTACTATTTGTGCTCTGTGGATTTGTGTTTAGAGGTTTTAACTTCGGCAAACAAACTTTACTGCCAGAGTCTGCCATGCAGTGTTATTTCAGTATTATTCTATTTATATAATATTATTCATCATTATTATATTATATATTATTTTTAATTATTATATTTTTTTATAAGCAGTTTTCATTTTAATTTTAGTTAGATTTTTTTATAGCTATATAGCTTTTTATTTATTTTTATTTTAGCCTTAATTTCTTCAGGTTTATTTTTTTTATTTTATTTTTCCAGTTAGTAATTTTTGTGCTTCATCTTAAACTCATTTCAGTTAGTTAAAGTTACCCAATATTTTATCTTTATTTTATTTCAATTAACACAAATATTTTCAGTAGTTTTAGTGCTATCCTTAATCTTTAATTAATTTTACCCACCCTAAATATTTCTTACCGACCATGACCATGACACACTGTGGCTGTGTTGTTTTTTTATTAGTACTTTTGACAATGAATAAACAGCTGTTTGTCCTTTCATATTTGTTTGTCATTCTAAGTTTCTTGTTGAAACTGCATCTGACTTGAAAAAAAAATGACGACATCATTTCCTGTAGATTTGTCTTGTGTTGTTGAACCTTAGTTCTAGAGACGATGTAAGCAATGTTAAAGAACTTTAAGCACAGTTGATAAACTTCTGTTGCTAGAAGACACGCATATCACAGCATGTTTGATTTGAACCACCCATTCTTCCAATTCAACATGAACTGTTTTGTTGCATTTACCCAGTTACCCAGCAACATTTTATTTACTCACCAAAGCCAAAATTTTGCGCTTGGCGAGTGTTTAATTTCAGCTCTTACGCATCATCTTCAACGGTTTCTGCTTTCAGACCCAAATGTAGTTTTATCAAAAGTGGAGAGGAAACTCCATGATTCAGTCTTCAACGTTTTTACCCAAGACACCCTCAGCAATTTCCTGGTTTCCAGGCAGCTGCTAGGCCTGATAGCCCCCTGACGCTAACTGCCAGATAATCACCGCTGTATATATTTTATATATTTAAAAAAAGAGACCACTTTCTCAATGACAGGTGTTGATTAGATAGGGGGTGTTGTGTCAAAGTCCCCCATGCAATTTTCAGAAAGAGACTGGAGAACCGGCAGTCAAATTTGACGGAGATTCGGCGTAGAGCACTTGATATGAGATTGGAGGAAAGGGAGTGTACGAGAGGGGTGAGGTTATGATAATGAAAGGAACCTGCAAGCGACTCGCACTTTTAAACATCACAGATGCCCCCAGAGGGGGAAAAAAATCAGATAGATCTCCATCACACAGCAGTCCAGCTCTCTACACTTGCCTAAAACCTACTTGATTAGCACGCATGCCATGTGAATGCAGGCGATATGCGTCCGGCACGCTCTTTCATCTGCATGAATGATGAGACATATTGCTGCAGCAGTCGCTAGCTTCAAGTAGAGCTGACTAGTTTGCTGTGTGTGTATGTCTATGTGCAGTTTGTGACTAGTTTCTTTTAGATGAGAACACATTAGGCCCCTATTCCTAAAACACCCCAGGCTATAAACATACACACAGACTTCCTTTCAAAATATGCCATTTAGTGCTTATACTGCATGCTTTTGCTAAGCTTGTTAGTCAAACTACACACCAGCAGTCCTGACTAGCAACCCTGCTCACATCACTGTTGGCACGGCCACTTCTCCGGCAGGCACCAACCCGCCCCGGCCTGGAGCCTTTCCTGGAGCCAGCAGCCCCGGGCCAGTGGCTGACCTGTACGGCCCCACCAGCCAGGACTCCGGCGTGGGCAACTACATTAGCGCTGCTAGTCCCCAGCCCGGCTCCGGCTTCGGACACAGCATTGCTGTAAGTACCCTGCTCCCCGCCGTCACGGTTTCTCTCTTCTCTACCACCTAATTCAAACTCCACCCTGCTCGAGTTAGCGCTTTTAGACTCTTTTCTTAGTTTAAGAAGAAAAAAAAATACCAGATCGTAAGTTCATTTGGAGAGCGAGCAACATCAAGAAGGGAATTCACTAAAAATGAATTGCTGAATAGTAGCATATTTATATTTATATTATGGCAGATTTGCACTAGCTGTTGGCTTTGTTTTAGCCTCCAGTTCACCTAATTGGGTAACAGTCCAAATACCCCACAAAATATGTTCTGAGCACAATTCGCCGCCTTACAGTCCCAAAATGCAGCAGACTACCACAATTTGATGCACTTTACTTGATCCATGCACCTAAATTGGCTCGGTAACATGTAGAAATTGCGCATGCCTGGTTACAATGTTCTCCATCTTTATAAAATGCATACTAAATAAAATCGTGTTCATAGAAAGAATGAAGAGTTTTGCACTGAAATGCCTTCGACAAATGTGGCGTGTCTTTTTAATGAATTCCCTCCATAATGTTAGCTAGTTAATACATTAATTAGCTAATTAAGTTTCAAAATTGAATTTGTCCTGAAGGAATGAATATTTCTGACACAACTAATAGGACTAAAAGAATGTGTGATATGCACGTATGCGAAATCAAAAGAAGCAAATACACGAAGTTATGTGCTAAATAAATCACCTCAGATGTAATAGGTTGCGGTGGGTCCAAAGGTGTGATAGATGTGCGTGTTTTACCGATACTAATTATCAGGAACAAGGCTATAAAAACAACTCTCTTTTGAAAGCTGAAAAATGTGAAATCACAGTCTCATTAGTGCAAAGCAGGTGCCCTGGCAAATAGCTAAAGTTAGATAGCGTTGGTTTTAGCATTGCTAACATTTCTGCATTCCCACCAGCATTCCTCTCTCTCTCTCTCTGTTTCTGTCAACTTCAGGATAACAAACTGTGAACTTGTACCGGCTGTCAGCAGCAGTGTGATGTGTCAGTGTGCTTTTGTTCATGTGCCAGCCCGGAGGACAGAAATCTCACAATTAGTTTTTCTCTCATTTTCAACCCGGTATTTTGTTTCCCCGCACACAATGGCTTTTTTATTTTTCCAGCAGATGATGAGCATACCAGAGGCAGCCTTTGAAAGGTCCCCCACACAAAGTGCATATGTAAATCAATAAGCCGATAATAAACTCTTGTGAGAAACCCTGTCATAAGAATATGTTGTCTTGCCCTTTGAAGCCATAGGCATTCATTATTCCTTCCGTGCATTAGTTTTTAACCTTTAACGGAGCGGAGAGACGGAGCAGGATTTGGGCGTAAGAGAAAAGGAGCCGGAGCCGACTCGCAGGGGGGTTGATGAGGGAGGCCGCTCTAAATCACAGGCTGCCGAGGGAATTACCGGCTCCAGACGCTTTTTCAACCGCCGTCCGGATCTGCTGGAAAAATGAATAAGAGCTTTTGTATGTGAGGACACTGTTTATTGCCTATCTGCACACACCTCTGATTCATTCTGCTTTCAGTGGCCCTCCAATCTCTTGTTTGGGAGGAAAAGCAAATACCTTTTTCTCTCTCTCTCTCTCTCTCTCTCTCTCTCTCTCTCTTGCCCTTAAGTACAGTTTGCCAAACAGACCGGGCACTCATTAAATCCAAACGGGATTTTCAGAATAACAATGTCACCTTGTGCTTGACTTTCAGAATGAGTTTTTCTAACCTAAATAGAGTCAAATTTAGGTTGGCCTCAAACCCTCAGAACATCTCGCTTGTGATTGACAGTGTTCTGGAGGCAGAAGGAGTTTTTTTTTTTTTTTTTGCTCTGCCTGACATGAATTGCTGTTTCTCTTAGCCTCTGTAGCATCCTCACAAACTGAAAAGAAAGATTTCTTTCTATAAATGTATACATCTCGCCAGTCTTCTTGTTCCCCAGTGTTTAGACTGGCGCCTGACACCGGTGAAGTTCACAGTTTTGCTGCTCAGAGTGACGCTTATATGTGATTTCTGACAGCGTTTGTATCTTGCTGCATGAATTGTGATTTCAGATGAATTCATTAATGTTGTTATTGTTGGCATGAATGTAAATGATTATATTTAATTACTTGATCTTTGTTTTTTTGTTTTTAAAAAACTTTCTTTCTATTTGCTCTTTGAAATGTACATATCTCTTTCTATTTTGCTGCATTGTTTGGCACAAAAAGATTTAAAAGGGGAGAGCAGGAATAAATGTAATACTTTTTTCAAATATTTCATCCTAAATTAACCTCAAATATCTTTAATACCAGCTCATATCTTAATTCAGACATTAAACAATTTGCTGCTTAATTTGATGTGCGATAAATGTGACGGATGAAAAATGAATATGATGTGAAAAATTATAGTTTGTAATTGTTAGTCTGTAAGTTTTATAGTCTGTTATAAGTTTTTACAAAAACCCTATTCACTTTAAAGGCCTTAATCCTGTAATTGTGGACAAATGTGGGCACAGAGGACTCAGGTGTGATCCTAATTTTTATTCGATAAAGTTTTGTCTATCTATTTATGGTGTTTTTTTTTATTTTTGGGGTATTTTTGAATTTATTTACTTCAAAATGTACCATATTTTCTATGTAAATTATGCTTATTTTTATTTTTATTTATTTTTTAAAAAATTAAACTACATTAAAATATCATTCCAATAAGTTCTTAGAGCTAGTGCTGTCACTTGGTATCTTATTTTGGCTTATTTTAGAACGCTCGAAATTACAGTTTTTTCCATTAATTTCTAAGGGTGCCCATTTTTGACCCAAATACAAGATTAAGGAGTTTTTTTTTCACCCACTTAACATTGTAGAATTGATTAAAAAAAAATGTTGGTGTGTTCAGGAGGCAAACTTTGGAAAAGTAGCCAAGTCTTGTACCGCTCAGATCAAGGGAAGTATTTTTTAAAAATAAATCAAAACTATTTTGCCCACATTTGTCCAGAATACGGTTTTAGGGTTATATCAGGCCTAATTTTAAAGGGAGATTTGGATGTATTATGTTTTTATTGTTAGTATAATTACAACTACGTTTATGTTTACAACAACTTTCTTGCTGAACTTGCTTACACATTACTGTAGCTTGCGAAAACAAGTCGTGCAGCCTTAAAAAGCCTTGTAATATTACTGATTCCTATTGCAAGCTATGTTAGTGGACAGGATTTTATTCTTTCAAATAGGGTTTGATGTTTGATGCACCTACCACTCAGGTTTTAAAGTATCTTTATGGCCACGGTGTGTATTGTGCATTAAGTTATGACCCATTACATTTACTATGTGTTACAGTTATTCCTGCACTCTCCTGCTGTTCACCTAGATCAGACTGAGGGAATGATGTGGACTGATCTTTAAGGTTGATAGATAACATTCATTCATGCTAGCAACACATGCAATGATTGAAATGACTTACGAGTGATCACTTCACTCAGAATGCATACTGACACCATTACTAACTGTACACTTTTAGGGTCCTTTGATTGCGACAGCTTTTACAAATGGATACCATTGAAACCTAACAGGTGGTTGGTTGCCATCTCATTTGAGGTAGATATCCCATACCATTTATGAAATATAAATATATATATACATTTGTTTTTTTTTTACTTGTGCATCATAATTATGCATCTATTCACCATACAATCTTCCTGTCCCATCTGCCTATTCATTTTCCCTCTCCTTTTGATCTCAGATGAGATCTCAGTTTACGTTGAATCCGTGTAGTGCTCTTATTATTTTTTTTCATCGACACCTTAAGGCTTTTAAAGGGCTTTTACGTCCCAGACAAGGGAATTTAAACTTCATATGCAACAATCTGGATTTCAAAAGTCTTATCTATCATTGAACATCTATGTTATTAAATGCTCATTTTAAAGCCTTTTAAAAGCCTTTAAAAGTGTCTCCCGCTTCTCAAACATCGTAAGCGCGGAGACTACACATTTTCCCCGTTACTCTTTGTCACTAGTTCCTCCTTTATCCGCCGCCTGCCTGTCTGTCATTCGACTGATATTTCATGCATGATGTCTGCGAGCGGGTCTACTCAAAACTGCGCAGTTGCTTTCTTTCTCTGCCAGGGCTCTTTTGCGCGGCGCGTCGACTCGTATCCTCTATGAAGTGCTGCATTTGGATATTATGCACAGGTGTTGCGGCTTTGATTAGTGTGCACCTGGAAGCGAGCACTCTTTGCTGAGAATCTGTTGACTTAGGTGCCATCTGATGTAATTCATCAGGTTTTTCGGATAAGGCGCTGTTTCCGTAATCACTTCTCTTGTAGGTCTAGGTCTTAAGGACTGATTTTGAGTATATGCCGAGATGCCAGATAGAGCTAAATCGATGATGATTGGCTGTGTGTGGATAAGTGGATGCACATTTATTTGGTGAAAATCCCTCCCCTATACTTAGTTAATATTTGCACCCAGACTTTTATTATCTCCTACGGTGATGCTTCAGTCGCGATTACGCCAGACTCTGTGGCTCCGTGGCGTTTACCTGTGACCATGTCGTCTGGGTAAGAGGCCTGCGCACTGCGGTTTGTTGCCCATAATCTTCCTAAAGAGCTTCTCATTTTGTCCTCGAGGCAAAACTGATGATTGATTTAATGAGTAGGTGGAATCGCTCCATCTGTATGGATTTTTCAAACGTTTGATTGAAGTACACATCAGCAGTCAGAGAAAGCAACAGCGACGGACAAGCGGGTTCTTAACTTGTCATTTCCTGGTTGGATGGACATCCGAAGAGTTTTTTGCATGCTTGAAACGCTAACATATGTGTCTGAGCTCCATGTAGATGCGATGTGTTTGCATAAAAGTGCTGATGTGTTCTGTATCTGAGCCTACAGGACCCAAGCTTATAGTGAAAAGATGCTGACGGTGGAGTGATTCTGATAGTGAACGATGTAACATCTCTACTTCAATTTAAAGCTGTCAGCAGCAAACTTTCAGCCGCACTGAATCGATACACACTTTGTTTGAACTAGATTTACTGTGTACAATCAGAAGCATCAGTTTATCAAACACGCTGCACTTCCAAAGACAATGTGTGCTTTTAAAAAGCTCAGTTTTATTAGGAAAAAAAATACTAAAAAATGTTTGACTCAAGTGAAATTGTATTTGAAATGTACAGAATGTTTTAGAATATTATTTTTCATGTTTTAGAATAATACTAAATCAAAGGCGTCAGTGATGCAGTTTAAATAGTATTGAAGGACTTTAATTCTATGTGACCCAACTCACCCATTAAATAAATAAATAACATTAAAATTAAATAAAAAAAATAAATAAAAAAAACAGGTAGACACAGACACAGTTTAAACTACTGTTAAAATGTTTGGGGCCAGTAAGATTTTATTTTTAATTTTTTTTGTTTTTTTGTACAAAAATTTAGATTTAGATTTGTCTGCAAATATATCGGTTATCGGCTTTCAAATATAGAAAATTATCGGTATCGGCCAAAATGTTCATATTGGTGCATCCTTAATTATTCCTGTGATGGTAAAGCTGAATTTTCGAGCCCAATCTCATGATTGTAAGATTCAAGTTTTTGGGGGTTTTTTGCACAAAAAAAATTGGCTTTAGATTTATCTGCAAATGAAGAGTTCAGATGCAAAAGCCTCTAAATGCCATTTGAAATTTTCTTCTTTAATGATGATTTTTATCAAACTTGTATATTTAAGTTCAGTAATTTCACTTAAATGGCAATGATAATTACCTATTAATTGTTATTTAAGTGAAATTAATGAAATAAAATATACAAGTTTGATAAAAATCATCATTAAAGAAGAAAATTTCAAATGGCATTTAGAGGCTTTTGATCTGAACTCTTCAAATATATCGGTTATCGGCTTTCAAATATGAAAAATTATCGGTATCGGCCAAAATGTTCATATTGGTGCATCCCTAATTATTCCTGTGATGGTAAAGCTGAATTTTCGAGCCCAATCTCATGAAAGTTCGTATCTATAGCACAAATGTCATTTCTCGTGCCATTTATACGCCAAAAATAGTTGTTGCGTGTATATGGTATGCGTTTTTCGCGTGCATATGATCGCGTGCACTTTCTGATGTATAATACGCACAAACTCCCCACTCCCCTCCCCCCTAAACCTACCCAAGGGGCGTAGCATCATCACGCAAAAACCATTTTTGCCGTAAAAAATGCCACGCGAAATGACATTGGTGGTATAGATACGCACTTTCATGAGACTTTGTTGGAATTTTCAGCATCATTACTCCCAGTCTTCAGTGTCACATGATCCTTCGGAAATCATTCTAATATGCTGATTTGCTGCTCAAATGACATTTCTCATTATTAATGTTGAAAACTGTTAATAGAAATCTGTTATTTACATATCGGTAATGTCTTGACTTGTCACTTTTGGTTAATTGAATGGGTTCTTGCAGGATTAAAGTATTAAAAGTAATCTTATTGACCCCACTTTTTTTTAACAGTCTTGCATTTATCTACAAATCTGCTTTTATGATGAGAAACACAGTCAAACGTGTCCGCGACAAGGTTCATAGTTACAGACATAAAATGATTGTCACCAGTAAGGCTCAGATGCAGCACATTTTACACCCACACAGTATATGTGTGCAATCTGATACACTTACTGTATGTGTTTGCTTCAGCAGAGTTTATCAGGAGGCCCGGGGAAGACTGGCCGGAGTTTCTAATTGGTTCTGTGTACAGGTAAAGGCCATTAAACTTCAAGCACTACAGCGCTGAACGGGAATCTAAAGCTGAGATGGCGCCACACGAAGAACAAACCCAAACGTCAGAATCATCTCAGCAAGAAGAAGAAAAAAAAAACAACGAAAAAAACAAAACAAAACAAATCTGCTGTACTATACTGAAAACCTGGCTTTTGAATATTTTATCCTAGTGTAGCCCTGACCTTGACTTAGGATTTTACTTTTCCTTTATTGTCTTTCCTTTTAGTCATCTTTAATTGTGTACACGTTTTTGTTGAGTTTCTAGATGTTCTTCATTGTTCTTGAAAGCTCTCTGATGAGAGCGACTATGTAAACATAAACTAATGTCTTTTTTTTTTTTTTTTTTGAGGTAGTAATATTCCAGTTTCATTTCACAGTCCTCGTCTATCGCGTTTTCAGGTTTCATTTCATTCGAGCAAGAAATCGGATCGAGATGACTCGGACATTTTTAATTCAAGCCTAAACCGCAATGAGTGGGTAACTCAAAAAAAAAAAAAATCTTAGTAGCTCTGTTCTATGTTTATTGTGATGTCTTGTTAACCATGATTACCTATTTTGGGCAATAAGAGGACTACAATATTTTCACAGTCCTTTTTTATAAATGTCATTTTTGTTGTCGATGAGATGAAAAAAAAAGAGAAAAAGCTTTCCTTTTAATACTTTGTGAAATGAGATTTAAAAAGAAAAGAATTCTGAAACTGTAAATATTATTCTGTTCACTGCATCAAACTGTTTCTGAGAGAGAACCATATTTTTGTGACGGTGTCATAGAGGTTGTATCGTGCGCAAGACGCAAAAATATCTTCGAGGCTCAATGCAGTAACCGAGGTCCATCTGTAGCACAAAGGCCGTGATTTACCCCAGTACGGACGAAACTCGATCCAACACGCTTTGTAAATACCGTCGGCTTTCCAACTGTGCAGGTGTGTCCGACCAGCATACGGATTAGATAGTACGTTAAGATGTGCACAGCTTACAAAGACAATATAGAGAAATCACCACAAAATCCAAAGCACACATCAAGAGTTATGATTTCAAACCGTGTCGAGACATTTCAACCTTCATTTGGTGTCCTAGTGTGGGCTTCTTTTTCCCGTGCGCCGAACGATTCGAATATTTATCATCACCGAGGCAATATGAAATTGCTCTACGATTAGGAAAACCAAGTCTTTTATACCATTACCTCAGTCCTGTGAGAATTACTTTAAAGGAGATTGCAAATTAACTTATTTTAGCCTGAGACAGATATTGAAAAAGATATTAAAGTGTTGTTTTGAAATTAAGTAAATCATTGCACTGTGAGAGAGAATTTATCATTTTCTATTTGCACATGTCAACTGACAGTCTCTAACATGGGTCATGTGAAGGACCGCTGTGGAAAGCCTTTCCTTCCACACAGGATAACACTTACAAATCTGGAGTCTTGGCTTGCGTTGATTTGAAGACTGTACTTTTAAATGATCTCTTTCCAGGGATTTTATTCTAGAATAACAGAGATGACAGATGAGTTTATTGGTAGCAATAGTTCATTTCCTCAGAAACACTGAAACTGATTGAAACCAGTAGCTGCTACACACATTTGTTGTACATGTGGGGACTGGATTTGATGAGACACAAATGGCATTTAGAAATATGAATTGACTGATGTATGCTGTTTGTTTTTTTCGATCTTGTTGAAAATGTTTTATTTTTCTTTTATTTATTTTTGGGGGTTTTCTTTTTGGTTTTTCCGTTTCTGTTCATTTCACTGAACTAACAGGTGAGGCAGAATGCTGGAAGACGCGATAAAGTCATATGAGTTTTAAAAGACAAGGAGAACTTTGTGCTAACTGTTTGAGCTGTTTCAAAAAAGACAAACGTGCAAGAAAAAAAAAAGAAAAAAAAGAAAAGAAAATGATCCCGAACTTCTTTTCAATTTAAATAGGGATGGATTTTTATCAATATTTTTGTGGATGTTAATGATTATACTAAATATAACAATGACAATAATACAGATATTATGTACTGTATTTATCAATTGTTTCTCTTCATTCCCTGTCACCCCATTCAGTAATCTTATGTTGATCATTGTATTTTAGTAGTGTGTAAAAAAAAAAAAAAAAAAAAAAAAAAAAAAAAAGTACAGGAATATGACTTTACCTTGTAAAAGAGTGCTGTCTTGATGCCAGTGTAGTGGTCTATACACTTCTTGGTTAGTATTTTTCACATTTCCCCTCCCCCATCACTCTCCTTTTGTCGTTTTTTCCCCTTTCTCTATATCTCACACTCTCTCTTTAGTGAGTAGTCGTAGGTGTTATGTACTTAATGTTAAGATGTAGACGTATTCATTAGCAATTGTAGGACCAGTAAGGATAGAACTTTCTCTTTATAATCATTTAAAGACAAAAGACAAAAAATGCTGAGCGTTCTTTTCATAGTAATTTTCCTTTCTTTTTTTCTTTCTTTCTTTTTGGTTCTCCTTTTTTTTTTTTTTTTGTTCCACTGTTTTGCTGGTCTCACATGGTTTCAACTAACCAAAGCTCTCACTGATGAAATCTAGGAGAAAGAAATTGCTGTACGACTGAATTGTAATCAAGGCATTAATTGGATCCCCACCCTTGAATGTTTTAAAAGGGGTGTGTGCCATACTACCTTAAATGCTAACGCTAGATATGCAAAACCGTTTTCACTTTCATTCTTTTTTAAGGGGGATGCAAGCTATAATTATATTTTTTTAGTCAGTTCTAACACAGTAATGATGATGATATATCGTAATCATTATAGATCAAACGAATAGGTTTTGATGTTTCTACTCTTCAAAAAATATCCCAGTGGCATATGGCGCTACTTTTTTTTAAAAATCTTTTTTTTTTTTTTTTTATCGTGTCTGCTTAGATAGTCATGTGGGACATACGACATGATTTTTTTTCATTGCCAGCTTTTCATTTTAATTCAACATCTACATTCGGTAGCAGACAGCGTCATTGTCTGTTCTGACGTCATACGAATTCTCTTGACTTGAGTGTGAATCCAGTGTCACACTGAATCTGTATTCCTGAATCACATCTCTTCTCAGGGATATCAAACATGAGCCAATGTTTTGTCAATTTTTGTAACACTAGCGGGTTATGATCAGTAAATAGCACAACTTTTAATGAAAGGTGTCTAATCCAAGTAATTCAATATATTCGAGCTAAATTTAAAGGTGCTGTCGTCGGGATGACTCTCTCTTTTTTTAACTGTAACATCTTAGTTGGATGTCTCTTAAAAAGTTGAGTATCCAGCATCCATTTAGGTCTTGATGCTCGTATAGATTTAGAAACAGCTGAAGGCAAACGTTTAACGGCAGATGAAGTACGTTTCCCTTTTGCTGTCAAATAAGAGTGTGACTGAAAGCTGATTAAAATGAAGGCTGGCAATCTTTTCCTTTTGCGTCGGTTAGCTTAGCTTATTTTTTTCCCCGTAATTTGATCTCGTAGCTTGGACTTTAAGGTAGCATGGCTCTGTTGCCACCATTTTGTTTTCCATGGACAGCAGTTTACAGCGGATGAATGTTACACATCTTGCTAGACTAGTTAAATCATTGGAAAATTGTTGGTTTAAAAAAAAAAAAAAAAAAGAAAACGAAAAAAGAAAATGACCTGGAAGGTGTCGAGTGGTTTTGGGAGTGAACTACCGTATCCATTTAAACTTGAATTTTGCGGCAAGTGCTAGGCAATGGCCAAAACGATCATCCCACTAATAAAGCAGCGAAACGTCCTACACTGTAATGTCTGATGTACAGTATACTTGTATCCATATACAAGATATATATGTAAAGTGTATATATCTCTTTGTTAAATTCATCATCGTCATCATCATCGTAGGGAAACTGATGCTAGTTCACACGCTGTTTGTTTCACTGGCTGTGTGTTGTGTAAGAGCTGCAGCAGTAGTAGTTTAGCTGCAGAATGTGTCGCGTAAACCTGACGAGGACGCGTAGCTCAATGGGGACGGTACGGTCAATGTGGTGTCATTAGAGGTGGAGGGTTTTATTTTTGCCACGTCCTTTGGGAACTCCGTCTCCCATTTTCTCCTGCATGAGGTTCAGGCCTCGCTGATTGCCTTGCCCATTCCTAACACTTGCCCATTTTTTAATGTTAACGGACTTTTTACCGTGAGAACTGACTGAACGGACTGACGTCTGAAAGCATCTTTCAGGTCTTCTTGTATGGCTTGCTCAAGCCCTGTTGTAAAATAAACTAAAGTGGATGGGGGTCTCTCACATCTCAGATGTGGAAAGTATAATTTTATATTTGTATTTTCAAATAATAATGATAATAATAATAAAAAATGTTTGTGAAAGGTTTCCATCCTCTACTGTGGTCCAGAAATCAATGTGTTTGTCTGGAAAAGATTAAAAAAAAAATAAAAATAAATAAAAGAGTTTTGAACCATTTCACTCATGGTTTTTATTTTCAACTTTTTTCAAGCAATCGATTTGTGATTTGAAAGGAAATGAATATACCCTGCAAAAGATTGTATGCCAGAACATGCACAACAATTAAAATGCACAAAGTTCTTGTGTAAGTTTGTTTTCATTCTCACGTTTGTTTACATCTTTCAATTGGATTATGACCTGTTATAGCTCACGAGTATATATATATATATATATAGACCATTTCACAAGATGTAAACAACACTGGTCCAGAAACACTTCCTGTTTCAGTTTGTAACTGTTTTCTTTATTTCACATGGAAAGAAAACATCTTAAAGATGTTTGTTTAACTTTTTGATTCAGTTTTAAATGTTCTGTTGGTTGTAATTTATCCCAGCTTTTATGTAGTGTTAAAAAACTGAAACAGGAAGTGCTTCTGGACCAGTGTTGTTTACATCTTGTGAAATGGTCTATATATATATATATATATATATATATATATATAGTATATATCACGTATATATTATATACAGTAAAAAGCGGCTTGATTTTAAAAAAAAAGGTAAAATGCACATAACTTATTAAGTCTATTTACTTGGGTTTAAGGCAATGGGTTTCAAGTTAAGTCAACTGATCACTTTTTACAGTGTGTGTGTTTATGTATATGTATATATATATATATATATTAGATAATTGTAGAACTACTTAATTAGAGCAAAACATTTTTCACTGGGGAGCCTGCAAATCTGTCCCAAAAGGGACACAAACAAAAACAATGCAAATAATACAATTATTATGCATATAGAATAGCAACATAAGTAGGCTTAAACGGGTCTTTTGTCGTTGATTTCAAAGTCTGTGCCCATTCATACTATTGTATTTTTGGCACAAATTCATCTTTTACTTGGTTGAAGCCGTTAGATTAGACAGATGCCAACACAGACAGGGTGCTTGACATGCCCTCATTCTTGATAATCAACGTTATCAACCCAAACGCTAAATACACATTCACTTGCCAAGAGGATAAACAACACATTGTGTGGTGTGCTTTGAATTAATAACTGAAGAGCATGAAACCAAACCCGGTTGACATTTAGATCACATTTCTGCTGTTGTTTATGAATATCCAAAATTGGCGAGTTTGAAATTATGCCCTTTTTTATGTTAGTCGGGTTGCATATTGTTGGGCCTGTGCACTGTAATACATGTCTTTACATTAAAGACAATTTAAAAACTCTGGTACCACATTGGCTCACTTGTTGTCCAATGTAAAATCTGCTGTATAACCAATGAGGGTAAAATATAAAGATTTTGTAATTAAATTAATTGATTGTCGTAGTGATATTTATAAGATGAAACGAATGAGTCGTAAATGTATTTATGTAACGCCATAGGCCAAACAAAGGACAACATTGTGGTATAATTAGTTTAAATAAAGCTCAAGAGGTCACATTTAAGTCTTAGAAAGCTTTGCCACTGAAATTATAGTGCTAAATGTTTTGGTTGTCAAGTTGGTTTCGAATAGCTACATCTCGATTTGGACTGTTATTGTCTTTGCATTCCTAATTAGAAATGTTTTAGAGAGGAAACAAATATATGAATGTTAGGGAAGGAAGGATGGGGGGGACATGATTCCAGAAACAAAACCCTTTCAAATATCTTCCCCAAGACACAATGTACACAGAATCCAATCAGACAGTCCTATTGTTGTGTGGAACGTTTGTGTCTTCCCAGAGCCTAATCAAGAGGTGTTTCAACCGGGATGAAAAATGCAATGTGTGCAGGCTGGCAGAAATTAATGTCATTTTTAATTTGAGTCGCTGTCCCATTCTCAAATGTGAAATTGCCTTGCTGAATGTAAGGTGTGACAGCTATTATAAATGTGTGGAAATCCATCTTCCACCCTGCCTCCTCTCCTCTCTCTCTCGTCCTGGATGAGCAAGCTCTCTTCATACAGTCACTATCACTGTAGCTGTCCACCCACATACTTCACTGGAGCCCTTGGATAGTGTCATGACTCATTGTGTTCACTGTTTGCCAGGAGAGAAATAGTGAGAGAAATCTCAGCTTCCCTCTTATCAGGAGACCACTTAGACAGGAGAGCTGCAGCCCTGCATCCTAACCTGTTCAAACGCAGAAAAATAACGCAATTCTGTCAAACAGGTCCTCTGAAAGTGTGTGTGTGTATCTCATAGTAAGGAAGGGGGAATCTCTTTGTGTCGTATATGTACTTGCGAGCAGGTGTTTACTACTTGTGGTAGTACGGAAAAGAAGCAAAGTGCAAGTGATGGCGTTCGTGAATTAATATTACACCCGCCTGATATACAGTATGTATACACAAGTAGGTTCTTTCCGAAAACACTGTGTACATTGCGATGCCACAATGGAGTTAATTGTACCTGGAGACCTTTGTGTCATGATGCCTAGCAACAAAGCACTGCCGCAGGTATCAGCTGACTTAAGTACACCAATTAAATCGTTTGAAAAATGACTGCATGTGTCGGGAGCGATCTCCAGAGAACTCATTTGGAGAGTTCTGGGTTCTCTGGTGTATATTTAAGACAGAGCTGCCCTACCTTTAAGGTCTGCCGGTGTGTTTGTACGGGCTGAAAAATCACAGGCTCCCCTTTGCTCACTCCCAAAGTCTCCCAGAGAAGTGTTTTAGTAACTTGCTTTGCTTTACCCTTTTGCTTTAAGGCTTTTATTTCTACACAAGAAAGAACCGTTTTTTTTTTTTTTTTTTTTTTTTTTTTGAGACTCCAACTTGTAAAAAGCGTTTTTTTTTTTTTTTTTAGAACTCTTAGTTTACAACTTGCCAACTGGGAATTTTATGAGAGCTCCCACCTGTACCATGGTCACTGGGATTTTGCCAAGACATCTTGGAACAATATTCCTGCCCAAAAAAAAATTCCTAATAATTCCTCATCTTCCATTGCGATTTACCATATATCTAAATATATTTAGTGAAAGGTAAAACTTCAGAAATCTCCGTGTAAACAATGCGTGACCACTTCCGGCGTAACGTTGGAAACGGTTCAGTTCGGTTCAGTTGGACATCTGATTCAGATCAGTTCGACATAGCTGTTAACAAGAGGTAAAAACTATATGAATACTGTTCGTTTTCCCACACAAACCACTCGTTTCGTGTCTTAGGCCATCAATGTATATTTACATTTACGAGTCATTAAATCATGTTTAATTTCGACTTCTCTGTGCACCCCCTAAACCTGCATTATATGACTGACAGACAACACCGGTTTGACCGAAAAATGTCAAAATTGAAAATACTGTGGAAACAAAGACACCTACATCTTGGATGCCCTTGAGGTAAGCTAAAACATATCATAAATTAATTTCAAAGTGAACTATCCTTTTAAAGGTTAAAGGCAGAACAGTTACAGTCATTTTAGTGTGCCTGTGTGGTAATCGCAGCTGTTAAATGCAAATGAGCTGCTGCAGAGGGCGGGTTTTTTAAAAGCTTGTGTGTGTTAAAGGCCAGGCACAAAACGGTGTGTTTTTGCAAACCCTCAAAAAGTGACAATTTTTACGTCCTATATAAAAAAATATCTGGGGAACACTCTGGGGAACATTTGAGATTTATTTTACATCTTGTGAAAATGGCATTTTACCACCCCTTTATTAAACAGTTTAACCACACTGTTTGACTTAGCATACCTTGTTGAAGTGTTTGAAACCAACCGAGTACCGACTGTGGTTGCCACCTCTGTTGTGCCTAAATCTGAGCACCGCCAAATTACTACCCCCTAGTATTGGTAGGTTTAGGATTAGGCAGTCAGCTACAGTCACCTTTTGTCTGGGTAGGCACTAGGCAATGAACTGTTTTGTGAAGCAAAAGAACAAACTTTTGAATGTGTAGCAGAATAGCAGGCAAGCTTTTCTAACGCTCAGAAATAGGCCTACCATTTAGGACGGATAGTATGCAAACTGGGATGCAGCAGTTGTCCATGAGTGGATCAATAAGTCATTACTCAACTGATTCATGATTCATTCTGGAACGGAACATTGTTTGGGAGGTTAAAGAACGGTGTCAATTTTCGGACCCAATATTGTTGCTGAAATGTAAGGTACTGGCTATTAAATTATGGTTTATTGAACTATAAAAATGATACCATGTTATATATCCTTAACAATATATGGGGCAAACAATGCTTTATAGTGTTTAGTGTAATATAATTAAAATGAAATGTTATAATTTCCTACACGATTCTCAAATGGAGTTATTTCAACTCAATCACTTAATATTTAATTTCCATGTATTTATTTTGCATCAGCTTAATAAGGAGAATAAGTAAGTTGTCAGCTGATCATTATTCTTTCAGGGAGATACAAGACCAGGGTTTATTTTGTCATAATGACCAGCATTATATACTGGTTGTGCTCCATTATTTAGACCTCACCTGATTGAATTTCAATGCATGATCAAACTGTAATTAACAGCAGGGCCTCTAATTGCTGACAGGTGGGCAGTGCTTGATAAATGATCTTATTGCAGTGTCACTGGAAATGTGCAGGCCAAAGTTGACAAAATCATATCGTTTTCACTAGAGTTTGTCCACCCACTATGCCTCTTCATATCCACACGGGAAATTTTTGGCAGATGACACTTTTATGAGAGGGTTGTTGATGAAAAACATAATAGCAGCCTCATCATTCGCTGCTCTCGGCTAAGCGATCGATGACCGAAAGAGTCCTGCGGCTTTCACAGAATAGATATCCGCAATCGTTTAAGGTGTCAGGAGCGCCGTGAGGGTTCGGATGTGATCAAGCATTAACATCAAGTGCGATCAGGGAGATGGAGACCGTCCCTTTCTGAATGAGCCCTGACAGTTTTTCGGGATTAGAAACCTGTTCAGCCCCTTGTCTTTGCTGATGAGTATTTGACTTCTAACTGCTAGACATCCCAATCATCTCCACTCCCCCAATACTCCAATCAGGGCCTCATTAGCATCTGACACTACCTATCATTAACAAAACTCTCTAATTAGGAGCCAATCAGCCCTCTCAGGAGCTCTCTTCTGAATGTGTGTTTAAAGCAGGAGCACGCGATGAGCTCAGATTGCAGGTGAGGTGTGACGTTGGAGGGGAGAACAGTGTGCTTACACACACCTAGTGTACTAGCACTCAGACAGAT